TTGATCTATGCCTCATCAAGGTAGGCTTCCATCTAAAAATGAATGTTTTCTTGTAATGCGAAAATCAAGTTCATCAATAATAAAAAGGCAAGAAAACCAAGAGTGTAAAGAGAAAACGAACAAATCAAAAGATGAAAACGACTTGTCGTCGTCTGACAAGATATTTCTGTATTTCGTTCCACGGACTTATAGTTATTTGCAATTAGTTAACTGTTAACTAATCGTTGGACGCAGTTCGGCTTGGTGGGGGTCACCAAATGGTACTCAGCGACTGCAGGTCACCTTGTTAAACTTGTAAATGCTTGTAATCAACGTGACTTCACTTCTACCATTTCGCAGCTTCACAGGAGTTCTCAGATTTCATAGAAATCGCACATGTTAATTACCATGAGCTAGCGAAAGGAACTAATAGAATTGCAAAATGCCCCCTCAAAGCCGAACGTTGCCATGAATTGTACTGACAATAAACTGGTAATAATATCATAACGTTCGGAGCTGATGCACTTGAGCTGATTCGTCGATTATTCTATCAAATTCTTAAGGAAGATTTTCTCATTTTTCACCTTTTTTGTTACTTTGAACGATTACGAATACTCTTCTGTTGAAGCTGGCTCACCATCTGAAGAGAATTCGCTCAACTCGGCACAATCATGGTCGGCAGCGATTCAAGCAGCGTTGATGCCGGTCACACCACAATCGTCAATAGGCGGTCAGAAACGAGCAAACGACATGGCGAAACTGAAAGTGCCCAATGAAGGTCAGTCAGATTAAAGTTCTTGTTATTAGGCAGTGGCAGAAAAAAGTGCAGGTGCACATAAAAATCTTTCTATCTTTCGTAGAAACTGAGGATTTTGTCAGGGAATGCCTGATGTGACGCCTGATGGAGAAAAGTTTCACAATGCGACCTCTCTCTCTCTAAATTTCCTACTCTGTTTCGAACCCCTTTCCCCATCGTTTTCCAATCTCTCTAGATTCTGCTGACTTTCTAGCACCCTTTTGTAGCTTTTTCTCGAAATATCCTCCAGATTTTCTCCCAGAAAATTCCCCACACACGGAAGAGGTGGTAGTGCATCTGCAGAATGCTATACTTTGGATAGAAACTCTAGCTGATTCCCTTT